AACTATAATAGGGGGTTATAGTAATATATAGAACTCTAATTAACCTAGTACTAGGTTAAGCGTAGAATAAACTTCTACCTTCTCTATCCTCGTATACGGCGAGTATAAAATACGTACTAGGGAATTATATATACTATTATATAGAGAAGGTTTATCTCGATCCTTTTTAGGTTTCTAAATATCTCTTAGTATTTTTTTATAATAAAGCTCTAGATATAATTAGAAGGCGATAGTAGGTAAAGCTATCTAGTATCTATAGTATTATATAGTACTAATCGTAGTATATCTAGTATCTAATATTCGATTCGTAAGTAAAATAATACTATTCTATCCGAGAGCTTATTAATATAGAACGTTACGAATATTATTAAGGTTTTTAGTAGGCTAGTAAAAGACCTACCTACTACTATATATTTCTACTATTATATTAAGAGATATTTAAGCTCGGTCGTCGTATCTATTTCGCTAAAAATTAATCTAGCGATACTACTATTATTACTAACTTATATTAATATATTATATTAAAAGTATACTTATAGTATTTCGTCGACTATACCTACCGCGACCGCGATAGTAGACTCTATAGAGCCTATTCTAATATAGAGAGTTATATAGCGACCTATAGAGGCCGTTATAGCTATAGAAAAGTATATATATACTATAATATAACTAATTTCCTAAAAGAAGTTTCTCGCTATATTTGTTATCTTTCTTAACGCAGGATTTCAAACACTTTGTTCAACACCGCTAATTAGTAGGTGAATTACTAAGGCCACTAGCGTAAGAAGCCCTCGATAGAACTAGGCTAGTAGGGCTGAACGACGCGCTACAGGTGATCGCAGACAGGCAGATACTTTTCGAAATTCCTTCGTCTCTTTGCCCGTATTGCGAGACAGCGACACGAATGGCCGGTCTATCATTTGGATCCTGGGTTCTTTGTATCAGCACGACGACTACCTCCGTGAACCTGCCATGCTGAGGCAAGATGGTGTAGTAAGTCCAACACTGTATCAGCAGATGCTTTTGATGTCGTGGCTGACGTTGTCCGAGCTGCGGTAGGCCTTCGAAGGGCTGCCATGCCTGCAGACGGAGAAAGACTAAGGTGTGCGAGTTTCAAGCTTGGGACACCGCCCATGAGCTGATGAAGATTGCCTAGTGTGACGCGGCACCGAATGGCTGCACTCAGTGCAAGAATGCGGGACGGACGTGTCCCGGTTATCGCTCTCAAATCGATATGATGTTTCGAGATCAGAGTGAAAAGCTGGCCAAAATTGCAAAGACAAATCAACGAGCCGTGCACTCGAGCAACGACCGAGATAGTACACCAGAAGCTGTCCAGGTGGCGGACTTCCCTGGTTCTGGACCGACTGCCACTCTGTCCGAACCTGTCGAGGAGACGGCCACCTGCTTCTTCATGGTCAACTTTGCAGGCGGCATGACGGTCCCCGGAGTCGACGGTATCGTCTTTGCTGGCCATGAAACGACCAAGCCGCAGACTTGGCCATACCCAACCGAAACTCTCGATGACATCTTGAAGACGAGTCTCGAGGCTACAAGTCTCGCATGTCTGGCGAACCATGCTCGCCAGCAACGTTTGAATGACATGGCACAGAGCCACTACGTGAAAGCCATCAACCTGACGAACCAGGCTTTGAGCAATGACGGCGCCAAAAAGGATAGCGTCTTGCTATCAGTCAACTTACTCGCTCTATTCGAGACTATCAGCGGTCTCTCGAAACGTTCGATGAAAGCCACAGCAGACCATGTCAGGGGTGCCGCGGCTTTGCTTCAATTGCGTGGCATGGGACAGTTCGAGTCATCACTCGGACGGCAAGCTTTTCTCCATACGGCTCACAACCTGCTCATGTCCTGCCTCCAATGGAACATACGACTCCCCGAACACATCATCCGAATGACCGAGGATTTCCTCAAGGAAACGCGGCAGCCCGCCAGACGAGCGAGACTATTTATGGCCATGTTGGATTTCACACAGTTTCGATATGATGTGAGACGAGGCGGAAGAGTGACTGGACTTCAAGACATCGTCAAAGGCGCACTACAGATCGATGCCGCGTTTTCAGACTTCTGCGACCATCCAGATGAGATGGCGCAATACGACGAATTCACCGACAACAGCTTGCGTTCAGATCTCGTACATGACGGCCATTACCACGTCTATCGACAGGTCGAGGAAGCCCGTGTTTGGAACCATGTCCGGATCTTCCGCATTACCATCCACCAGCTCATCTGCGAGTCCTTGCTTGCATCGGCGACTCTGTCGAAGCCTGAGTACGAGCCGCAGTTTCAGCAGTCCACAATCATCTGCAAGAACCTCTCTGCAGATTTGGTCGCCAGTATACCGCAGCAACTTGGTCTTGTCAATAACACAGTCACATGGAGACACTCTGACGATGATCTATCAAACCTCTTCGCCGGATCAACGCCCAGACCTCACCTCTGCGGATACCCCTTACTCTGGCCCCTCTGGATCGCAGCGGCTGTGCCCACGGCCACGCATGGCACACGAGCTTACTGCACGGGAATCCTAGACTTGATAGGGTCTCAGATGGGTATCAAGCATGCGTTGGTGCTGGCGAGGTTGCTGAGGGAGATGAAGAATTTCACGGTCGCGATTTGGACGGATGATCGGATTGATTTTTGATCAGTGATGGGCCCACACTGGAAATGTGTCAGCACAGAATGCTGTCGCCTGGGCGAGATGATGACGACCTCAGCCCATCTTCAGCCTCGCACTTAAGCTTTCTAGAGAGGATCCTGTTCCTGCGTCACGCTAGCTGAGAATGGTGACCAGGAAGTTGAGAGTACGCTAGGTCATCTGGAGACACGAAGGTCATTGGACGGTTGGACCATTTCTATGGTCGTTCATTTTGCATTCATTCATGCTATGATGGAAGTAGAATGGCAAGCCACGCGGCATCGCTGTGCTTGGAGTTCGGCTGAGCAATAAATGGCTACATTCCCGTCAGGAGGAAGCCATGCTCGACCTTTTCCTCACTGCTCTTCCAACATGTCTTCCGGGATCTGGCTCGCTGGCACTGTTCTCAACCTTGGGCTCGCCCTAGCCTCTACTCCTCAAGTCACACTTGAAGCTGGCATCGTCCATGGAGCCGTCTGCAATGGCGTCAACACTTCCGTGTATCGAGGCATACCATATGCCCAACCGCCCGTCGGCAATCTACGATTCATGCCACCGCAACCTCTGAACACTTCATTCCCGAACGATACCTTGAATGCGACGCAATTCTCGGCCGGCTGCATCCAAGCGTCGGATCAGTTTGCATGGACGGAGCCATCGACTTCTGAGGATTGGTGAGCAGCAAGACCAACCTCTTTCCCCACCATCCCTAAATTGACACATCCCCACCACAGCCTCACCCTAACCGTCTACACCCCCCCTAACAACCCCTCCTCCCTCCCCGTCAAAGTCTGGCTCCACGGCGGCGGCAACACAGGCGGCTCCGCGTCCTACCCCCTCTACGACCTCTGCCACCTAGCGACCGACTCCATCGCCGTCGCAGTACAATACCGTCTCGGGCCCCTAGGCTTCCTGGCTTTGGACTCCGCAGGCATCGATGGAAATATGGGTGTCAAAGACCAGATCGCCGCGTTGGAGTGGGTGCAAGCGAATATCGGGGCTTTTGGAGGGGATCCGCGGAAGGTGCTGCTTTTTGGGCAGAGTTCGGGGGCGGATGATGCGTTTGCTATCGCGAGTCTGCCACAGACGAAGGAGTTGGTTAGGGGCGTGGTTTGTGAGAGTGGTGGAGGGTTGGATTTGGCTCCGTTTGAGACGATGCAGAGCGTTGGGGCGGATTATGCGGTGGGGTTGGGGTGTGCGAGGGATGATGTGAGTGTGACTGATATTGAGAGGCTTGTGATAGAAGGCTGACATTGATAAGCTGCCTTGTCTCCAGTCGAAATCCGTGGAAGAGCTCATATCGACATACAGCACGCTTCCAGTCTTCAGCCAGGGAGAAGGAACATTCACAAACCCCATGCTCGCCGGATGGGCTGCCGGTAACTTCCCCAACAGCACCAATATGGCGAACCCATACCTTGACGGAAAGCTCTTCGTTCAGCAACCCCTCGCCGTCGGTCCCCAAGTCCCCATCATCCTAGGCTCAAGTCCGTGATACCCCCTTCCAAACCACACCCTACTAACCCACGCGCCCAGACACAAACGACGGCTCCCTCTTCGCCGTCCCACCCCTCCTAGGCGACTCCATAACCCCCCAAAACTACACCACCTTCCTAAGCCAATTCGGACCCCTCGCCCCAGCCATCCAACGCAAATACCCCCTCCCCCCCAACGCCACCCAAACCGCCATAATCGCCGCCCTCACAAACATCGAAACCCTCTTCGCCTTCAAATGCTTCGCCTACCGCGGTCTGCGCTCCGCCAAGAACTCCGGCGTCCAAGCATATGCGTATTCTTTCGACCATAAACTCTCGTGCCCGTGGTTGTGGGAGGATGGGACGCCGTTCCCGACGGGTGCGGAGACGGAGTTGTTTTCGCAGCCGATGCATACGGCGGAACTGACGCTTGTGTTGGGGGGTTTGGAGAACTTACCTTGGGGGAATGGGAGCTGTGATTTGAGTGCGAGGGAGGCTGGGTTGAGTGAGGTTTTGAGGAAGAGTTGGACGGCGATGGCTGTTAGCGGCGATCCTAGTCTGGTGAACTTGTCTTGGACGCCGTTCGATAAGTGTGACACCCAGGGACTCTATATCGGCAACAGCACGGTGGTGCGGAAGCTAGATTTCTCAGAGTGTGAGTTTTGGGATGAGGTGCAGCATGAGTTGGGGGGATTGGAGACTTCTTGGCCTAGTTGCGAGGGGAACGCCACGAATGTGTCGAATGCTAGTGTGCCGGCTCCGTATACTTCGGGACAGGGAAGTTCGAGGAGTGTGGCGATTGGAGGGTTGGTCGTTGGAGGCCTGATCGCTTCGTTCCTTCAAGTGAGTGTTTGACAGGGAGAGGTTACACTCCTCTGAGATGACCCAGAAAACAAATCCCCCTTCTATAGCCAAACTCCTCGCTACGTCCTAGCAACCCACATCCATTCCTCAGAAATGCTGCCTCACCCCAAAATCCACACTCAAATGTCCCATTCCGCTCGCCCCAGCACTCATTGTCCGCTCATACCGAATCGGCAGTTGCGCAATACTCAAAGGCCCGCCTACGCCCTCAATCGCCAGGTCCGGCGGCGTCAGTTCGCCCCTGAGATTCTTACTCACCAACCCCCTGACGTCTTCGTCGCTCTTCGGTGACTCTTTGTTCTGCGCGAGAAGACATACCAATTTCGTGTCTCGCCTACCTTGACGGCATGAATACCTTACCTAGTAAACAAAATGCATCTGTATAAAGGGCATATTACTACCGTAGGACCTGAAGATACTGTTCACGAATACTAGGATTATAATCTACTCTCTTATAAAATAGCTATAAGAACTATTCTTACCCTATCTCCTAATATCCTTTATCGAATTTTCGTAGTTCTATTAGCTTCTAGGCCTAATATCGGTACTTACTAGCTTACTTATCGTATACTCTATTAGTATAGCTCGCTTTACCTAATAACTTATATAGTACTAGCCCCTCGCCTTTATATACTCCGTCGACTATAATAGTTACTTCTAAACTAGCTATTTCTACGATCTATTACTAAACTTGTATATATAGACGCGCCTTTTTCTAATAACGAGCTTTTAGACTATTATAAGTTCTTCGGAGAGACGCTTTAGAAGAGACTAAATAACGAGAACTAAGCTTTCTAGTAGGACCTATATTACGGATCGAGTAGGGCACGTATAGGCTTCCTAGGATCGACGTACGTAACCGCTCTCTCGCTCTATTAAAGGAGCGATAGAGTACTCTCCCTCTTACCTCGTAGAGCGTAGAGTAATACGCTTCTCCTTTATTATATAGAAACGATATTATAGTTTTTATAATAGCGTTTAACTTACTATTTAATCTTACTATTTAGTTTATAATTATACCTAAACCTCTA